TCATTAAATCATGTGCTAAGCGGAAGACTAACGAGGAAAAAAGCTGAAGAAAGAATCAACCCCCCCCCCCACCCCCTAAATTGGAATCTTGTTGGCTCTGAGCAGCACATTCTGTGGTGAAAAGAGAAGCGGAATTAGAGAGCATCTAAGATCGAGACCCTACCGCTTGATAGCGATGTGAAACGAAATAATAAGGCCGATCTAATCTGCGGAGGCTTGTTTGTTGTCGTTAATCCGCCTCGCTTTTATCTAACGCTTTTGAATCGCGAAAATCGCGAAAGTAGGACATCCTGATCGTGGACTCCGCCATCTTGTACAGGCGCTGTCTCTTAAGTAGTTTATACAATTTCCAACGTTTTAAAACTTCCAGTGAAGCGTACATCACGAGAGCGGGGGCTCAATTTTAGTTTCTTATCATATTGCGTCTTGGCGCACGTGTTTCAGAAAGAAAAACAGTGAAATTGTAAATAAGAGTTTTATGTTTCTAACTGACGATTTGAATGTAGAGCTAATCGCGAGACTGGGAGTTATGTGGAGGTAATGCCGTAAATAGACAGGTCTGAATATGCCCCTTGTATCGACTTTTGTAGTTTGTCATCCCTTTTCAGTTGAACGTGTGGCAAAGTTGTAATGCAATTCTGACAGTTGACAGCACCCCTCTATCTAGCTCGGTGGGAAAATTGTAGGCAAAATTCGAAAATAGAATGATAGGGAGGTTGGGGGTCATTGCAGGGGTCGTATTTGCTCGTCTGAGGGAGTGGGGGGGGGGGGCAATTGTCTTCGTGGAGAATGTTTTCGGTTTTTGACTTTTCGGTCATGAAAAACACAACTGTAAATAGACGAGGAAATGTAGGGAAAATCTGGAGAAACGGTAGCTATTTGGGAATCGTACCGAGTCTCGAGCAGGACACGTCGTGCTTGGAGTCCCTAGCGAAGGGGGCAGTATTTGGTGATGAAGGGAGGGGAAGGGTTGCATTCGTACTTGATGCTTTTGGTTGTTGATTGCTTTCCTTCAAGTTACTCGTTTCGCGTGCACTATAGCCCCTCTTCTACCACTCCTGCGCCCCCCGCGCCCGCTAGACCTGGCAAATTTGCAGGAACCTGGATGATTTTGGAAAAAAAAATTCCGATCATGTGGAGGCAACTTCAGGAAGACGGGACAATCCAGAGAGATGGTAGATAGAAAGGGGAATGGGAAAGGGTTGTACCAGCAGAAATTTTAAGGGGGATAGTATTTTGCAAAATTTTTCTGCGACAGACCTGCCCTTACTGCGATATCTTCCTTATGAGGGAGAGGGGGTTGTACTGATACCAACATTTCGACAAGCGCACCCTGTTTGTAGAGCAGCTTTTGTTAAGTGTCCCTAATGTTCTCTCGGAAGACCAGTATTATAGAGGGAAGGTTGGGGGGGGGCCAAAGAGAGACAGTTTGCGTCGGGCGCCATCTCAAGTAAGTATAAGCTAACCCGAGAGAGAAGTCGTCGGAAGGTGGCGAAAGAACGCAGCGGAAGAGTACCGAGATGCTCTCCACGATGAGGGGCGGAAGGGCAGGCTCGCTCGTCCATCATCTTTTATGTACACCAAACTAGTGAATGGGCCATCTCGGCTTCGCAGGCGACTGAGAGCAACAGCCGTATTTGCTCGAAATGTCACGCACCTCCAAACTGCTGCGAAACTTCTTGTATCGAGTCACCCATGGACTACCTGCACCCGGCACTCTTAATCTGGAGGACCTCCAACATCGGGCAGCTCCGAAAACGTCGCCACGGTCGGACATCATCTTCACCACAGTCGCCAAGGCGCGGGTTGATGGAATGGACCGGACGTACCTGGAATGGAAAGACCAATCATTTTTGCTTCGGTGGACCCGACTGAGTGAACGCTGGCTGCTACAATCGAGCCAGCTCGGGGAGAATATCTGCCTTCATTTCGTCACGTGCACCGTCTTGGAAGCTTCACTTTGCTATAGGATTGGGTGCCAGCACATAGAATCGAAGAACTTTCGCCTACTCGGAAGCGAAGGGCGTTAACTACCTGAAAAAAGAGTGTGCTTCTTGATCCAAACCCCCTCGATTACAAAATTCGGGAAGAGCTCAACAGGGTGGTCTACAGTGATGGAGAAATCAACGACTTCGCTGAACTCAAGTACCGAATCACGGTCGCGTGGCAGAATCTCTCGATGGCGTTCGTCTAGAAGGCTGTGGCGGAGTTTTAAGATAGTGTACAATGTGTTGTTGAATATTGATAGTGGAAATGTCCAACCTGAATTTAATAAAGTGTGAATTCTTTCGCTTTAGAAATCGAGAAAAAAGTGTCTTTTTGGCCCCTCCAGTATAGCTTCCGGTTCCCTAATTCATGGGTTCGAAGCTTTCATAGTTATTAGAGCTAGACGAGGTCTATTAAGGCCCGACTGAGCACAATGGGCGACACGCTGCGAGTCTTTCATTACTTCATTTTAATGTTTCCAGATTGTTCGCAAACAGATGTATTAAATGAATATAAGCGCTGTGGTAGGTGTAAATTTTATCTAACCACTGACATTTCATGCCTCTTCGTATTTAGCAGAACTGGGCTTTTAAAGCTATTTTTCGTTGCTAGCCTTTTGACTTATGTATATAACGCTGTCCATAATTAGTGCAACAATTTAGTAAAAATAGCCTCTTTTCCATCCAAAATTTATCAGTGCGGTAGAAAATGAGTGGACAGCCTTGTTGCCTTTACGTTTTCGGCAGTGTTATCAGTTGCTATCAAGCACTTTAATTGACGAATGGAGCGTGTTTGGCGTTTTTTGTCTACTGGTTGCCGCCGTTCATTACCGAGTGGTTCAGATATGCGAACAGGAGAGGACTTCTTAGTGCTGCTTGAAGCTGTCCGAACAAGACTGGAAGCGTCTATCAAGCAGGCGCTGTCCGAGCTTGAAGAGGTAAGAACAGTGATTGATTCATTGCTACTGCTTTCATCATGAAATGTTTTAGCATAGCTGTTCAATTTATTCTTTTGAACACACCGAGAAATTCGCGAAGCAGTTTTCAACGCAGTACGACTTGGGGGGGGGGCACCGAATGGTATATAGCTAAGCTTGTACAGGCCACCTTGTAAAGACCTGTAAATTTTTCTGTGACCAAAGCGGCTCTTTCGCACAAATTCGCAGCTTCTCATAAGCTCCCAGGCGGGGTACACCATTGTGAAAACATAGAATTGGGGGTCGTACTTTTCCGCTAGGAGGGGTCATATTTGTTCGTTGGGAGAAGGGGGGGGGGTGTACAAGTGTCCTTGAAAGAAATTTGCCGCGCTGGGAAAAAATTTCTCACGGTTCTTGATTTTTCGTGATTTTTCCTGTTCCATGTGTACTATATACCCCTGTCCTCCCTCCCTAGGTAGGTGCTGGAAAGGGGAGAGAGGTCTTACCGAGACCCTCTTTTAGGCGGGGGTCGTACCATTTCACACATCACGATGCTGTACCCTGCTTGCAGGTCTCCAAAGAAAAGCCTGGTAGTTAGCATACCAACAAAAGGAACCAACGAAGGTACAAAATGCCCTCTCCGAACCAAACATCGCAGTCTTCCTTATACCTTGCACGTTATTCTCGCTGGGGATTGTAGTTCAGCTCCGGCGGAATCTTTAATTCTTCCTATCTTTGATTATTTCTCTCATTGCTAGAGTGGTAATGTGCTAGTTTATGGACGTGGTTCGCTATCACTCGTATGTTTGGCATCATCTTGCATAGGAGCCTATTTCCTGTCCCCATTCCTAAGACTGGTCGTCGCAGAGCGCCAGAGGGACGATGGCACCTGAGCTTTAACCGATAGTTGCTTGATGTCGCTAATATCACTTTTTTGAGACGTTTTGTTTTTTTTTCTCCTATCGATGTATCTAGCAATCGTGGAGACCTGTGAAACCTTGTGAAGCAGGAAATAATCCCAGCCAAAGTCTGTGAGGTCACTTGTCAGCTCCTGTAAAGAGTATCTGTCAACCCTCGTAAAGCAATGAAATACCACACAAATACCATTTGCCATGGTGGTTTGACGAGCTTCACAAGCGTCTACAGGATTCACCAGGGTGAGACTTGTGAAGCGGAACCAGTAAAGCAGCAAAAGTGCAAAATGCGCCCCTCCCTTTCGCCAAACTGCGCCGAGTTTTTTTTATATGCTTTGAATTGATATGTGATCTGATAAGAGGCAGGAGCTTCAGTTATTAATTTCCTGTATACTGTTACTATTCAGGAGGAATCCATTCCCGAAGAAGCCGCATCCGCTATACGGTTAGCTGCTGGAAAAGCACAGTTACTTGTGCGCAAAAAATTGTCTAAATTCGATGAACTGGTGAAGAAGAACATGGTGAGTGAACTGCTGTGCTTTACTGTCCTGAAGCTTTCCGTTTGATTCCAATATCGATTTCGAATTGATTACCATAACCGAGTGTTCAAGTCAGAATTTTGCAGAATCCAGTCGAAGGTGATCATCAGCCGGCTACTGTAGATGATTTAGAAGGGTACTGGGCCTTGGTCGAAATTGAGCTCAATGATATTGACGAGTGCTTTCAAAAGGTGAGTCTTCATATGGTATTTGTCTTCTTAAGCTGGAACAAATTTTCATCCCAGTCTTGGCAGATTTGGATATATGGTAGTTTAGCACGATAGGCGTGGAAAACGATACCGCCACGCGCGAGACGAGTTGTCCTGCCGGCCATTTCTTTTCGAATGTTGAAGGGATGGGAAGGATTGATATCTTTCGGCATTCAGTCTTACCTTCGCTTGAATTTGCATAAGTTCTGCTGCTCCAATCGGCAATCTGATGCGTCGCGCGCGACGGCGCGGCAAGTTGCGATTGTCATGTCCATCTCCTACTGAATACTGGCGTTATTTTTTTGTTACACAGCCCAAATTTCATAACTTTGTATTCCTTTCATTTCTCTTTTGTCAAAGCTAGCTCTCATTTGTGCTCGCGATTTCGAAATTTCTAGTGTTCTCTAATAATAGTTAACAAGTGATATGACAGTTTCAGTTTTGTTCTTTTCATCTATGGACACTGCGAATATTGAATTACTTTTTACCTTCTGTAAAATTTCAGGTGGAAGAATGGCGAGCGAATGGTTGGCAGGTAAAAGAGTGCGCAGAATCTCAAAATTCACTTCTCGTTAATAGTAATAATAACAACAACACGACGAAAAAGAAGGTTGTCCCATCACGACCAACTACGGCACCAATCGATCCGGAACTTCGTGCGAAACAGATCGAAAAACAGGTTTGTTTTTGATATTGTTTCTCAAAGGATATTTCAAGTGAAAAAACCAGCTTTACCTGGCTCTTCATAACTTGTACAACTAATTTCTTATCTTTTCATGTGACCCGAAAAGTGAATTTACAGAAGGCGACTGCTGAGATGCGACGCAAAGCGTTGGCAGAAGCGAAACAGAAGGCGCGAGCTGCCCAACAGGCACAGATCGCGACAACGCCCACAGAAAATGACGTCAATACTCCACCACGTTCAGATGTGCTGATGGTCCTGTAATTGAAGTGTTTTTTCCACACGACCTTAGTTTTTATCTTTAAAGTCTTGTGTCATTTTTTGTTGTGGTGTAACGCTTATATTTTGCATAATGATAATCAACGCTGTTCTTCCTTGAGTTGTTCCCTACTGTCCCATCTGTACCTCGCTTTTGTCTCTCTACCTTGTGCTTGCTGCCTTTCTCATATACTTTCTTAGAAAATCCGTGCTGACAAAAATGTGCTTTACGAGAACGTGTTTCTGTCGTTCAAAGATTGTCTTTGCATGTAGTCGTTTTGTGGTACCATTGAAGAGTAATTTTCTATTATTTTCTTTTTTGCAGAGATCTTATTAACTTTTTTCAGCAGTATAAGTTTGTGTAAAAATATAATAATTATTAATTATTCAATCGGTGAGACTTTTTAATTTATCTTCCATTATTGATTTAAGCGACATATTTCCTAGTTGGAGAAGATGGTATGTATACTCGAAATCCCTGAGATCGGGTAGGCGTGACTGCGTACTTGATTTTAAAATGGTGGCGGCTGTGGACAGAACAAGATAGCAGTTGCTTAAAATTAAAGAATCTCACGAGAAACCCGTCCTATACCTTGCTCAAGAGCCACGCCTACTCCGTCTCAGGATAAGGAGTGTATGTCATACTTACTACGACTTTGTTTTTTGCTCAATGTTTGTTTCTCGTTGAATTGTGTGTATGAAGAGTATACGCCATTCTGACGGTTGTTTTTCATTTGTATGAAAATGTTCATCAGCATTTATACATTTTTTAAACGTTTTCCATGCTTTCTTCTCCCCCCCCCCTCAGATGATTGCGTCGATGATCATCTGGGTGTTCGTTTGAAATCCCGCGAAATCTGGTCAGTAATCTCTCTGTTCCACCGATCATCATCGAATCGCGTGATGCATCTAACCTGTATGAATGAGACCTCCCTGATTTCCGATCGTCGGCGGGGTGCGAAACTTCGGATTGTCTCCACCACTTGCGTGTGGCGAGGAACTCCCAACATTGCCCCTTCGATAGCGCGTTGAATGGTGATGACCGTGTTTTCGACCCACTCCGTGGCTTATGTTAGAGCAGCAAGGTCACGGAATCCAAGAGGTGGGCGAAAGACGAGGGGCTAAAGGTTCTTCGTGTGGTGTTCATCGATGTTCTAGAATGAGTCTTTCATTGGTTCAGTCGCCCATCAGGAACTAGCAAATCCAGCATCGAATGTAGGGGCTTTCAAACTAAAACTAACCATGGGTGGCGTTAACTGACAGTCGTTCGCATTCTATTTTCACCCCATTTAATGATTCCTGATTAGAAATCCTTAAGCCACCTTATAGAGCTAATCTTGGTGAGAAAAGGGCTTGCGATGTCCCTAGAAGGAAATACAACCTACTTTGGACCACTTGTTCCAAGTGAGATGCTTTATGCCCGTCTTCATCGTTTGCGATTGTGGCGAGCCCACGTAGAGCCTAGATACATCTCACTCGCGAATGAAGGATAAAAGGAGAAAGGTTCCGCTGTCAGTCAGTCCTCTTTTGGGATACGGCACGCACTCTACTTCCATTCGAGATCATAGTGGCTTATGGAATGCGATGTGATCCCTGCAATAATTTGCGGCGGTCAAGCGAGTCAGCGCTGTTATGCAGAGGGATCTGGTAGCAATTCATCATCCCTGAAGGGTAGAAGGCTCCGTTGGTCTGGGTGGGAGTCTTCTCCCAAATATCTGGTTCAATCCGTTGGGTTTTCTTACGAATGGCCGTCATGGTGAGAGCCCTTAATGGCGACGTAACTTAGTGTTGTTAAAGACTTCGAAATTCAGCGGTCGTTTCTGTGGTGTATGGTGCTGGCGTAAACTGAAAGTGGCGTGAAATATTTTGATTAGTAAAGGCTTTACCTTGTTCCAAAGGGTGAGGCAAATAAGTACTTCAGCCCCCGTATTTGCGAGTGGATAGATGAGAAGAGTCACGCTGTTTTTTAGAGACGCTGAATTGTTATCGAGTGCTAGGGAGGGAACACTAAAAACGCTCATTACCTCATCCTCTCTGCCAATACTGTAGTGATATTGTATGATGCGTAGTGCAATGATAAGTTTAAGAGGGAGAGGTTATTATAGGCACCCACGAGAGAGAGAAAAAAAATGGTTTTACCCAGCTGGGTAGCTCAGAAAAAACAGATAAGGAGTTTATCCTGATTAAAGTAGAAAGTGGTGTAGCAGTATGCAGCGTCATGGCTCAGCCAACAAAACAGTATCTGCTGCTAGCCGCCCCCTCCCCCCTACTGAGCGGGTGTAAGCGCGGGTTCTGGTGCAAAGCCAAACGCTTAGTAAAACGGGGCCGGCCAGTGTGTGGCTAGACAAACTTCTTTTTGCGCTCATGAGATCCCCGGACCAGGGTTTCTTCAGGGCGTTCACAAAATTTGATGTTTAGCTTGACCCCTGCCTACCCATTCTGAGCTATTTGATCCCCTTCTTCATAAGCCTAACTTCACTTATCTTCAGTTCTCCAGCTTCCAGACGATCACTCGGTCTTGTTCATTAGTGGAAGGTCTCTGATCCGTTTGAAGGGTCGATAGCTTTCGATTAAGGTGACTGCATCTCGAACTGTCGTAACATTTTAAGAGGTTTTTTCCATATGGTAGTGGAGAAGGCAGCTCTACAGGGGGGGGGGGGGCAAAAAAAGTCATTCCGGCCGAGTCACATATGAGCGAAGTTTTCGCAGCCCAGACAGAGGAAGTGGATATGAGTACCAGGGCGGAAGATACCCAAGATCTTCCTCTATAAGCAGGAGCCGGCTGCCGCCATTCACCTTCATGTACACCAAAATATGAAGTCATCTCCAGTCGCGGCCTGAGTGGAGAACGCCTTTGGAATTCACGTGGCCTCCAAACAGCTGCGGAACTTCTTGAATGGAATCACCCATGGATAGCTACCTGGAGACCAGTACTCTTGATCTGCAAGACCTCAAACATCGAGCAGCTCCGGCAACGTCGCTACGGTCCAGGACATCATCTTCACCCCATTCACCAAGGCGCGGGTTGATGGTGTGGACCGGCGTACCTGGAATGAAAAGACTAATATTTTCTTCGTGGACAGCCGCGGACTAAAGTGAGCGCTGCGTTAAGCATTGGGCAACTCGTGATGATATCCAAGCCACGATGTGGTCGGCCCGTACCTGTCATGCGAAACTTTAGTACTCTACGAGCCATCGAAAGTGCCCAAACCCACATGAAATCGAAGGTAGCGTTGGAAAAACGTTTCGCCTACTTGGAATGGAAGAACGTTGAGTACCTGGAAAAGATGGAGTATTCAAGCGGGGGTCCTGAACTAAACCCCCTCAATTACTCGGTTCGGGCGGAGCTCAACAGGGTGGTCTACAGTGGCGGAGAAATCAACGATCTCGCTCAACTCCAACGGTCACTTTCACGCGGGCCGAATTCTCTCGGTGGCGCTCCTCCAGAAGGCTGTGGCGGAGTATCATTATAGTATTTAATGTGCTCTTTAATATGGTAGTAAAAATGTCCGATAAAAATTCAATAAAGTGTAACTTATAGCGCCTTGAAAGTCATGGAGGATGACTTTTTTTGGCCCCCCCCCCTGTACATGTCTAATGGTCTATTGTATTCATAACGGGGTTTTCAGGATGGAAAGTCTTCCCAAACCAGTGCTTGTGATAAGAGCAGCATGTTTTTTCCTTTCTATTCGCACTGATCCACGGCAGATATGAGAGTGAGAGAGCAGATCATGCACGAATGGCTTCCATTTCCTGTCGCATTGCAAATGAAAAGAAGGAAAAGAAGAAGCATCCACGCAAAAATACAGGTTTTGAAGCTTTTCTCGAAACACTTGCACTGCTACCCACAGTATCCCGAAGATAGAGAGTGCATTACTGCTTACCTCATTGGAATATGGGAAACGCTGCTCTTTTGGGAAAGTATTGTTGCATTAGGGTAACTTTAATTATGTTTCTACCCATCGTAAAGCAGGATGATAGTTGTTTAAAACTGAAGTATTCCGCGGAAAATGCATCTGACGCCATGTTCAAATGAAGTACACAGTACGTGGCCGGGATATGGATTACACCGTGCCACGTTATTTTAACTTTATGTTTGTTTGTGTAAGTGCAATCTCCATAGTTTTCTCCCTTCACACCTTCCTTCCATCTTGATTTTTCTTAGAATTCTGCTATCGGCGGTTGTAGAGGAATAAAAGAAGAACAGAGCAGTACAGAAAAAATTCTCTCACACAGAATACAACCCCTCCCACACCCGCGTCTCTCCGGCGGCGCAGTCGGAACCTGAAACTACACAGCTGTCAGATCAGCACCCGTACACTGGGCTCTGTCTCACGTTCTCTAATAGAACATAAGAGGGTTCTGCAAATAGTAATGTTTATGCCTTCTGGTAATATAATTGTATGTTTGATCAAGCTCTCTCTTTTTTGTTCACTGTGGATGTTGGAGCATGTCAAGGGGTTGGGTTTGGCGCGCCAGCCCCTTTTTCCCATCCGCCATTCGACGAAGACATATAATATCGTTCATCTCAGTCATTTTCCACCACTTTTTGTCGCTTAACCGCTTCAACAGCTGGTGGAGGACGGCTTGGCGGCGCGCCAAACCCAGCCTCGCTGACGTGCCCTGTCATATGCAGCGAACAAGACTGTACCCTTCAATTTTCACTGCTATTCCCCTTCAGAAGCGAGCATTTCGAAAGAAAGAAAAATAGAAGAGCGTCAGACGTATGTGAAAGTTGAGTTTGCAGAAATCGTTGATCTTCAATTTATTTAGCCTCGCAATCGGCTGGTCACAATTCAAGTTCTTATCGAGTACGTTCCAAAAAGTCATCGAACAAGGAAAAGAGTAAAGAGCAGAGACATGTTTCAAGTGTGGCATACAAGGAAACAGGTATTACTTTAACACAGCATCTGCATTGTTCGTTACGGACGCTGGGGCCTTTCAAGTTGGTGGCTTGGTTTAGCCCGGCGCCAGCCTGTTCTCCACCAGTTGGGTCGCCTGCCGTTCCCACAACTGTTGGTGAACAGGCTGGGGTGGCGCCGAGCCCAACCCCCTGGAACGTCCCAGGACTAGAAGACTGAACAAGACTGTATCCCGTTTTGTAAACACTTCAGTGGTTTCAGTATCTATGGAGATCGATGAGATGTCTGACGAAATGGTGGCATTTTTCAAGAAAACGATCGAGCACAGGAAAACCCGTAAGACTGTGGCATTTGTATATAATTTCATCTTTTTTTTCTCTTACCTGTCTTCTGTTATTAGTCAGACCGGTCCAAAATTTCCACTTTTTTTGTTTTTATGTGAAGTTTCTTTCACATGTCTTGTTTGGGACGTCCTAACCGTAACGTCAGTAACACTAGGCGATGCCGAGCGTATCGAAAAAGAACAACGCGCTGCAAAGGAGCGTGGTGAAAGCACAGCACATTGGATCAAACTAGACGAGGACGAGTACGTTTTAGCCCACAAAGGTGAGTTTCTTCTGGTTTTTATTTCCCCTGAGTAATGTTGATGTTGTGTTGGTTATCCAGCTTCGTATTCGAACTCAGACGTACTTATACCAGAGCGACCTCCTCTCATTTTTCCTGGTGCGATATCCTGTAGCGTAGTACATTGCGCTAACTGGGTGCTCTTTGCTGGTATATTCATTGCATTCTGCTTTTTTTAATCCGATTTAAGCTTCCTATTGCCGTTCTGGCCTACCAAAAATCTCACTACGGGCGCAGTCGACCACAGTCGGCGATGCACTTCTCGCAGTAGGCATTTTTGCTGTCCAGCATTCCATTGCCCTCCTCTCCTCCTCCCCCCTCATCGGACGACCCCAAAGTGATAGTAAAGGTCTACACAGTAAATGAAGGGTAAACATGTGAGAAAACGTACATTCGACAATAACACAGAAGAGATTTGGTAAAGACGCGTTACTATTTTATTACGGGATCATAATTGTATTCGCTTAGAGAACGAGCTTGTCATAGGAATGAAACTGTGAATCTGATCCACCTCTTATTTTTGATTGCCCTTGTCAGTACATTCGCGCCTAGAGATCCCGAAAATGCAACGTTGACAACAACGCGAATACGAAGTGTTTTATTACGCTCTGATGCGGAAACCTGAAGAAATTTTCTTTCCAGTCGGTGTTTATGGCATTGAAAAACGCACCTTCGCTGTCCCAGATGAAGAAACTCGAACGAAGGCAAGACGAGAGAACGCTCGCAAGCTCTACGGATCGAAGGCGGAACAGATTCTGGCCATGGAAACGTTGATGGATATGAGATTTGAACAAGAATATGCAAGGAAACGACCGCCCTTATGGCCCAATATTCCGTTGAAACTGTGATTGTTTGTTGTCAAACTTTTAATTCATTGGCCATTCCGTATACTGCCTTCGGACATATTTCATTTGTATCAATATACCAGTGTAATGATGATCCTGTGGTCGTTGCTACAAATGAATCATGAACTTAATCTCTAGTGTACTTCATGAGGCTGAAATCTGTTCCTATTCAAGTAATCTTCCGTTATGAGTTAGACATCATCATATAAGATTTTATGACCTAACATTTCAGGATGGCGAAAAAAGCCATCACGAACAAGAAGGCGAACCAGTTTTGCTGGCGAAAAAAGTTAAGACTGTAGGTACTCGTCATATTTTCTGTTTTTTTTTTTATTTACCAGTCGTGTGTACAGCTGACGGCGAGATGTCTTGCTTTTTGAATCTTTTGGTCATAGATATTTCCAGTGGTAGAACTTGCGTTATCTGCAACATTTATAGTCTTGTTCACTGCGGATGCTGGGGCGTGTTTGAGAGGGGGTGGGGGCAGCTGGATTTGGCGCAACGGCTGCCGTTACCTCACACAACTGTGGGAAGCTGCAGGCGACTTTGATTGGTGGAGAACAGACTGGCCCCCGCCGAACCCACTCCCTGAAACGCCACAGCGTCCACGACGAAGAGACTGTACTGTTTTCAGGATCATTTGGTACTTCACAAGAAGTGGCGATTACATCAAGCGCGCTATGGCGCTGAGAATTATAGCACGCGTGTTGAGAAATATTTTTTAATACACGACCGTCACCGTCATCCGTGACAGGCGGGGACGGGGGCGGGGGGGGTAAATGAAGTAGACAGACATTAGAGTAAAAATGGGATATGGGAAAATTGACCATCAAAAGTAATGTTCTCATCGGGCCACATATAGCCAACCCTCTCCCTCTTTCGCAGAGTGATATCTCCCACTCTTTTGCTTTGAGGGTTCCCCAACGTACGATGTTCTCCATGAGTATAGAAGGCATTTTTTTTGAGAGGATACTGCGGAATCATTCGTTAGTTATTGGGTCACGGGAGTATCCACGCAGACGATAGGTGAATTGAAGTAGGTGTTATTAGTCATTTCACAGCTCTTCTTGCGGAATCAGCAAAACTTTTTTGTTCATTTACATCGATTGCTCTTTTTCTGTACTGTTGAGAAAGGCCGAAGTGTCCATCGTGACCACTCTTCTTGATTCAGGAAATACTGAGTGACGTTAATGAAGAGTTGGAGCAGGTCCCACACTATCAGGATGTGTCGTATGAAAAGAAACAAAAAAAGAAAGACAAAAAGAAGAAAGAACATTACGAAAATACGGGCAGTTATTCTGAAGAGGTATTATTTTCCCTACGATGGCTTCTTCTGTCGTGCGTGTGGGTGCACAACTCTATAGGTCTTTCGTCACAGTTCCCAAGTGTATGAACTCAGGTCTCTCTGGGTCTATTGCAGACATACTGCGACATCATTCGAAGAGAACCGAGTATGTGGGGAGTAGTCTGAGCGGGGGGATGTAGCCGAGGGAGTGAGTTTAGCTGAACTTGGCAAGAACTGTTAAGTCTATTGCCTGCTGAATGTCCATTGTACTCATTTCGCGCGTTTCGGTTGGTGGAGGTAAAAAATTGTGTCGCCACACGAAGCCTTTACAGGCTATCCTGTGGAATTACGAGCCACAATTTTCTTGCAAAAAGTTGATACCGTTACCATGTGCCAGCTTCACAAGGGTTCACAGGTCTCGTTTAAATGAGACCTGTTAACAAGAACCAGCAGAAGATCTAGAAGGAAATGGAGAATGCCCCACCCAAGCCGAACAGCGCCGTTTTTCTTATTCCTGGTATTCTCGGTCTCTAACAGTATTTGATTCTCGATTATATACTTAGCTCACCTTTTGGTAGAGGTATTGAAGCAGCGCTTAATTGTTTCAGAAAGAAATACTGAGTTTCGAAGAAGCAAAGTATCTGATTCTTGCGAACCCCAAGTGTGGATTGAAGGTATGTTCAGCGAGTTTCGGATGTACCACTACTCAGAGAGGAAAAACAGACCCTATAGCTAAAACATCAATGAATCGTACATTTCAAGAGATTAGATTGCTGAAGTCAGAGATTTTTCGTTTAGAATCAGAGCAGGTCCCGTCGTTGGGTAAACATTTCGCAAAGAATGTCCCCCTCGGAAACTGCTCCGGCACAACCTCCTTCTCTTCTCCCCCCACACTATTTACTGAACTTCCTAAATATCCCCACTTTTTCCCCAAGAGACACGTCGAGGGTGATATATAGAGCGTCCGAAGCAGGAAAAGCCGTCTCAAAGCAGATGCGACCCTCCAGCGATGAATACTACCAATACTACCCTGCTACTCGCTGGAGATCCCCATCTACGACTTCCCCTGCACAGGGACCCCGAACATTGTTCATTTCATGTTTCTGATTACCCTCCCACAGAGTTGCGTGTTTGATTCATAAGGCCAGTTTTATTTGAAGGCAGTACGAGAGAAGAGGCATATCACCCTTCCATATCATCTTATTGGAGGCAACGTTCTCAAGTCATGCGAATTCATTGCGAGAATGACGGTGGGGAAATATCGACGAAAGTGAGTGGACATTACAATGGTGAATTATGATCTCGTACCCTTCATTCAGCACACAACTCCCATTATTCCAGAGTCGGTGGGGTGGTGACCTCCATTGGGTCGGTACGTGTTGCTTCTTTGCCTAGAGTTATTGACGATCAGAACGTTTTTCATCTGGATATTCTCGTCACGCAGGTAGTGTTCCGGTGGGTCAATTGTTTTTTTTTTCGAAAATAATACCATGCAAAACGTAATAAATAATCAAGAGGCTCAACTGATGGATAAAAGGAAGAAACGTTATGTCTTAAGCTGACGTTCTGAAGTGTCAGCCTTACCTAGCTCTTTTCTAGGCCTACTGTTGGTCATCGCTATGAAGCGAGGGTCACTCATATCTCGGAAGACTTCTTGTCTGCTCTTATTTTGGAATCGATTTCTATAACAGCTCCTGTAGATGACAAACTTCGGAGTAATTTGAAAGGTACCTTCAAGATATTACATTAAATGCTTCTCATACTGAAATGAGGAGGAAATTTGGGATTTAAAGACGCTGTACGATTATTAGCGAGGAGGATCTTTCTGATATGCGGGAAGGGAAGGCCCAGTGTGAGACAGGTATCTTTCAATAGTAGAAAACGTGAGCGTAAAAGAAGCTAAGGGTTGGATGCTGTTCTTTTATGTTTCACCCGCCAACATTAACGAATGCGGACGATCGGCATCGCAACAACTCCCATACGAACAGACATACTCGTCATAAAGACGCATGCGCCTCCTCTTTCTGTGCTTTTTGCCTTCGCGTTACGCGGTTATTTTAGCAGCATGCCATTACAGTCGTGCGAGACGTTTGGTCGCTGATGTGTGACATGGCCGTACGTATACGGAAATAGCGGGTCGGAGACGTGACAGAGCACTAAAGGACCTATCAAAACCCTCCACACCCACAACTACAACATGGCCTCAGAAATGAGGTCTAGACACACGGGTACTACAATGCAATTGAAACACCTGCGCTACTGGGCGTGCGGAGCGACGCCTTGCCTTATAAACGTGCCTGATATGTAGTGTGAGTTGTACTGTCTGGCCGTTCGAACATGAGTATCAAATGATGGGACAATTTGCATCGATGGGTTTGCCTTATGCTTAAACCTCATAATGAGATTCCGCTGCTCTGGTCGACAATTGACAATCTGAAGGTGCGCGGATTTGGCCGCCATAGTTTACGTCGGCGCGAGGTGAAGCGACGAATTTGCGATTGTTTGATCCTGGCGTTTGTGGCGGGTTGGCGCTGAATCCTCAGCGACTTCCATAGTTAGGTTCTGTCAACTACGCGACCCACGCGATAGGTCGAGTTCGTGCTGGTGTGAGCGACCTGGAAGTGAAGTATGAACGCAGCTTCTACAATCTCCAACTTCACTTTTTTCCATTGCTATACATTTGTGGACACACAAATCATATGTACGGTTTCGGGGGCTAGTGATCCTATAAGAGGCATTCAGAAATTTGCTGACGCAAAACCGAATCCCCACAGAGGAGATGAGGACGTGTGCCCAAGCTTGGGGGGAGGGAGGAGGGGGGAGTGATGAGCGTCCGCGCTTGGTGAATCAGTCCGGAGCGTAGTACTTCTATTTCTTACAGTAGTCCCGGTTTTACACAAGAAGCCTGCAATGTCCCCCCCCCTTTAACACGTTGACGCACGGATGCATTTTTACCCATGAATTGCGCGTTGCGGAGGCACAGTTTATTTTCCGCATGAACTATAGATAATTCTAAATTAAACCGTCGCCTCGTCGGCTGGACGCACGGCGCGGCTCTTTCTAGAATACTGGCCCGGATGCGCCGGCGGGCGCGGCTTCGCCGCGCGTATTTACTCTTACATATTTATAGACTCAACTGATATCCGCCTTTTGTTCTGTACTCCACTTTTCTCCGGTGTCTGAAGTACGCTTGAGCTATTTTACAGATTCTTCGTCTGACTCCGCCCACCTCAGAGCAGGCCCCGCCCACAATTTTTGTGCCCCACACTCTTCACAGGCGACCCTCTGCTGACCTTAATCACTTTTTTTTCGGTGTCTGAAGTGCTCTGGGACAGTTTCTGCAGATCTTTTGTCTGACTCCGCCCACTTCGAAGCAGGCTCCGCCCCCAATTTTTGTCCACAGTCCTCACTGGCGACCCTCTGCTGACCTTAATCCACTTTTTTCCGTTCTTCGGAGTGCTCTGGGACAGTTTCAGAGAATTTTCGTCTGGCTCCGCCCACCTCGGGCTGGCCCCGCCCACAATATGTATACCCCACATTTCTCAATCGGCAACCCCTTGCTGACCTTAATCACTTTTTCCCTTCTGGAGTTGGCTTCTGGAACTGTTTTTTACAGATTTTTTCGTCTGACTCCGCCCATACCGGACCCAGGCCCCGCCCACAATGTTTGCGCCCCACAGTCCTCACCGGCGAACCTTTGCCGTCCTTGATGCACGTTGTTCCGGTCTTTTCAGTGCTCTGGAACCGAGCTACAAACTTTTAAAATGAGCATCCTGCGGTTCTAGGCAAGTCCGCCACTGTAGGGCCGCGATTCAACACATTTTGAGCGTGCCCAATACTTTCGCCAGATATTTTATATTCTGCACTGAGCTTTTTGCGGCTTCTGAACACTCTTGCGAACCGAGCTACTGAATTTTATGCGAAGCACCGCCCACCTTGAGTACGCCCCGCCCATTTTGGATGTGTCTGCCGTATTTAGTCTGGCGACTCCTCACTAACCTTATTCCCTTTTTTCCCCATCTTAGGCTGCTCCGGAAGCGAATTATGAACATTTTTCTGTGGAACCCCAAAATTTCAGCGAGTGCCCCACTATGGGCGGCGGGCTTCGCATAGGTCAAGTGTGCTTTTTATTTCTTGTCCCATGCCTACTATGCCCCACCTTGACCGACTTCCAAGTCGTTCTTCAGGTCGAACCGAATTTCCGGACAGACAAACAAACTTACAAACAAACTTACAAACTTACAAACAAACTTACAAACAAACTTACAAACTTACAAACAAACTTACAAACAAAACAGACGAAGCTTAATCTATATATATGTGGTGCATGAATTACTACGTAAAATGCTATCGAGAAATGCAAGTAGTGAGGTATTTACCGGTCTCGAATCTTTGACAAAATTGTAGCTCTTATGCTCCAATTTCCAAAATCATGCGCCCATTTTTTTACCAACTTCATGTCCTCTGAGAGACAGAACTAGACTAAAATTTGATCTCGCGGGTGGTTTGATCAATGAAGAACTAATAATCGCTTGCCTCGACCGAAAATATTTGTTCTTGAACTAATGTTTTAATGAAAAGTAAGTGAAAACAGTTCGCGTCAGAATTTGTAGTTATATGAAATAACTGTGAGAGCGCGGCGACGCCGTTCCACAAGACACCTTTCTTGTGATCCACCATTGAATGGGAATTCTGTCAACGCGTTAAGTGGACTAATATTTTTTTGTTCAGGAGGAAGGTTCACCGGTAAGGACAAGTTTTTTAGGGAATTAGATGACTAGGACATTTTGGCGCGGGCGCCAGGCAATTTTGTGGCAAGCGATTGTTATATTCGTGTTCATGGGGTCAAGCTGCTCCAGTAGGCAAGTTTTCAGCGAATTTTGGGAGTTATGGTATTTTGGCGCAGGCGCAGGCATTTTCGCGGGAAATGATATTCGTGTTCAGGGGCTCAAGCTACCCCGAGACAAGTTTCAACGATTTTGGTGACCTAAGGTGTTTTGGCGCCGGCGCCTGTGGCGCGGGCGCCGGGTCATGCGGGCGTCCAAACCATTATGACTGTTTCGTTTTCAGAATTTCAGTCTATCTATAGACATCTTTTGAACAATACTTGATTGCCGCTCGACCGTCTTTTTATTAGAGCCAGTATGCTGTCGTTACAACAATTGTCGACACCGCGCTCCCATGGACGACTGGCTGTGGCCCAGCATTGTCCGACACCGTCGTATCAACGTGGTTAAGGCTTACTGGTGTCCGATTTCTGATTTCATGGTGCATATCTACTCCGTGTAGTTATTATCAATAACGAAAAACTTCAGGTATCGTGCTCGAGGTGGATGATGTCATAGAAGTTAAACATAGATTGTTAACCATTAAGCGTGGTATATGCCAGCTCGAAGGAAGATTTGTGCGTATTCTGCGAAAAGGGTGAGTATTGATTACGTCTGAGAAATTTCTATTCCTTCCTTTATTTAATAGTATATTTCTGCGAGTCATGAAAGGGCCAGTTCAGTTTTTGTCTAGATCCTCAAAAGAAGAAGTCAGTCTATCCGCAAAGATATCCCAGAATCGAAAAACCTTCGTCGATTCGGATGAGAATGATGAGTGAAGGGTCGCACACTGCAGAGAAAATATTAATAATACTTGTTTTTGTTGTCTCTTTTGTTGTTTCGTTGGTACTGTTTTTGTTAAGCATTGAATATTTTTGCTATATTCATTTACGTCGTCAATAAAGCGACTGCATATCCACAATAAGCGGTTAAGCATGCAAAAGGTATAAACAATTGAAAGTGAACTATCTCAAGCAGACAATGAAATCATTGGAAGGTTCAAGATTATGAAATTCAAGATTATGAAAAACGGAAAGTACAATACCTCGTGTGAAGTCAATGGATTCAATACGTGCATATAAAAATTTGACCAGCAATCATTGTTGACATGCGAAAATATTCGGATCACAAGAAATCGTGAATGGATAGGGAAGAGGTGGTTGTTGATGGGGAATACAAGCATTTTGTTCTGGTGGTAATAGAGTTGGCAATGATGGTAGATCGTTTTCCTGTTTTGCAGAGCGCTAAAATGTCTTCGAGATACTGAAATAGTGGTAGGTCAGATATAAATTTTAAATAGAAAAATAACCGCGAACGAAGTACGCTCAACGTTCATTTGATGTTCAACGACTTCTTAGAACATCGCAGTCTTGTTCACAAACATGAATTTGTACTAATTTCACAGATCGAAAGTATACGTTGGAAAGCCTGCCTACCACCTGGCCACGACCCCGCCCACTAGCTACGGCAACGCCCAGTTTCATTTATGAAGGCTTTCTGGTGTTGCGGTTGTTCCGCCGCCACTATAAAGGTGTCCGGAAAGTTTTGAGAAATTCGAATCAGCTCGTTCAACATTTATTAAGAACAACAAGGGGGAATTCACAGTTATAACAAACATCGTCCATCTCGATTCTCTAAGTTTTTGGGCGGAATTACATTGAGTGGGAGCTAGAATGAAGTGAGTACCGACAATGCGGGGGCGTGAGCAACATCTAAGCTGAACTTCCATGTAAAAAACCAATTGGCCTCTTGTTACAATATTTTCAAGCGTATTTTAGCCAGCATTGGCGACGGTGCCTCTTTCCCGGTTTGACCGATTGAGCAGCCATAACGAAGAAGATGAATTAGAAGGCGCTGGGAGTCATATGCGCCAGTGCATATTTCAGGTGATGTGAACTCATGCCAACAATGGAGAATAACACCAACCAGCTTTAAGATTAATTCCTTTTTCTCATAGCTTTTGATATGGGACTTTGTGTTGGGGCGTTCGCTTGCACTTCTTCGAACCAAAAGTGTGAAATTTTCTCAAAACTCCGAACAACCGAATTATTAGTGTGGAGTGATAAAGAGAAAGAGCTGGCACCAACCATGAGAACTCGTCTGACCACGCCCACCCTTCGCCTTGTGCACGTACAAGCGCGGTTGATATGTGGTTGCGTGTAGGGCATTTCCGGCAAGTTTTCCTGGCTTTTTTTCTTATCTTCTGTGTTAACTACCACTTTGCCAGCAAACACTTGAAAAATCTACCGGCAGTTCAGGAAATCCGAGCCAGCATCATAAACTAAGTTGTATTCCTTGTTAGCTGACTCAGCAGAGTAATTTAACGTCAAATTAATCGTACCCTAGTAGCCCACTTCCTATATCGTTACTTGCCCAACAGGGATCGACAAGTATCATGTGAATGCCCCACTAAGCCGAACTGCACCTCTATTTACATTTAGTTGAAAGCAAGTGAAATATTCGTCAATGACCATGAAGAGAAAGTGTACTAACACGAATATTAGAGCGCATTCTCCCCACAAGCAATCAATGCCACCTTTTCTAAATATTCCACGAACTTGAATTAGCCCTTACATCCCAAATTCAGCTCTGTCTTGAACTAAACAAAATTCTATAAATTAAATAAAACGTTATGAAAATTGCAGAAAGAAACTGCTAGCCATGTGTAATTTCACACTCACCGCTGCCGGACTCACCGCTTTCATACGGAGTCGTTGCTGCCTTTGTGCATTCGCTTGTAGACGTGCGGCCCGTTCCTCCATGGTTTCTTGTTCGCGCCTTCTCCGCTGACGTAAGGCATTAGCTCGTAAACGAGCTGCACGTTCTTCAGGAGTTTCGTTTTCTCGACGAAGGCGTTGCCTCCTGGCGTTGGCTTCAAGTCGAGCAATTCGTTTTTCCTCGTCCTCAGTGCTGTGTCGTTTATGGACTGTCCCAGCTTCTTCACAGTGGCCTTTTTCGCGCCGCCGTTGTTGAGGTTTGGCGTTGACCTCTACACATTCAGCTCCTTGCTGTCCGTTTCCGTTTTCACACTGAATGCTTTTCCGCTCAGCGTCGTCCGTATATTTTCGCCGCTTACGCTGTTGATTGGCCTCCAGCTCTTGGTTCATAGAACTTTCGAATATCTGAAAAAGGAAAATATCTGAAAAAAATAGCTCATCTACTTCTCTTTCAATTACAGAACAGCGCGATAATTTTGTAACTGATAGCGATTTCGCAAGTCAGGCCAGATAGCAGAAGGTCCAAAACAACCACTCATTCAGCCGCAGTTCCACGCAACGATGAATAAAGGGCTCTTGCTTCACAACTGCGTAGCTCCGATGGGAATTTGTGAGCTATGGGCAAATGCAAGGATAAAAGGATGGAGCTGGCGCAGTTTGTCGACGAGGGGGGGGGGGGGGCATTTTGCTTTCCATAGATGTGTCGACCCATCTAGGTAGCCGTTTCTCGAGTTGACACGTTTTAGGATAGTGGCTAGACGATCTTACTTCAGCTTCACAAGAGTTCACAAGTTTTACCAGAGTGAGATTTGTAAACCGGAACTAGGGAAGCAATGATAATACAAAATGCCCCCCCCCGTCGACAAACAGCGCCGATGGAGCTTCCCTTTTGGTCCATATCTTTTTAGGATGCGGCTTTCATTCAGAAATCCAGTGGGGCGATATGGCTTATACCAATGACTTGCTCAAGCCAGACGATGTACAAATCAGCGCTCTTATCGTCCTGGACGAATCTGATACCAATTTATCGTTCTCGACGGCTGGGAGACTTAATTGGTCCGGAAAGCCCGTTTCCGGACTGCACGCATGGTGAGCGGACCGTCAGTCAGTACACCACCTCCGTCTTGACTGGAAGCATATTTGATGAAAAGCTATAAATTTAATCCAAAGGAACGCATTCAATTACAAGTAATGTGGGTTTTGCGGGTTAATCTAGCGCTGTAAGCGTCGCGCTACATTCCATCTACGAGGAATTTGAAAAACGCTGAATAGCAAGTATGGGAAATCAAAAGTAACCCGTCTTGTGAGGAATTACGTGTTCTTTTTCAAAGGTTGAGCTAACCGTTAGGGGATCGCTAGTACATATTGGTAGGTTTTCGAAGCTTTTTGCTGATACAACAGCATACGATGACAATTGCAAATATCTCATGAATCCATTTGTTCACTTTCTTGCTTACGATTGCGGCCGGAACTGTATGATCTCTATAGAATATGACAGGCGGCGCATTTCGGCTTGGGAGGGGTTCATTTTCCCATCCATGTGTCGTTCCATCAAAATATCTGTGAACTTCTGTGGAGCCATGAAATGGTACCAGTCAAAGCTTGTAAAGACTACTTGACAACCCTTGTGAATTATCTGTCAACTCTTGTAAAACAGTGAATCTGACTAAGGGAAGTAGCGAAGGCACAAAATGCCCCTTCTGAAGCCGGACTGCGCCTGACACCCTAACAGCCAAATGTAATCGAAATTGAAAGATTAAGGAAGAGAGAAAGCGCCTACCTTACTATAATCATGGTTCCAAAATGCTTCCGCTATGGATGACGGATCCACGATGAGTTGGAGCAATTGTCAATCAGTTCAAAGCAAATCCTAAGGGGGCACAAATCCAAGTAGAAATAATGGAACGTCACAGAGATAAGTGAAACCAAACCTTTTTGTGACAAAGCGCAGGTTCCTAAACGAGTGCTACGCTCTCCAATACTAAAGTGGAACTGATGAAACGCCTAAAAGAACATAATCCTACAAAAATAACACACTTCATATATAAAACCGTATATCGCATAATCGTACATTACATACAAAGGGATTAACCGACATTTCGAACGCAACCAAAAGGGAACGGCAGCACAGGTAAAAATACCACCGGTCGCTGGTGTAATTGCGTACACTAGGGCGATATCGTAGCCATACGACGGGCTTTATTCGTCCATTCGCTAGTTATGGTGCCGGATTTAGGCCGCGTTCATACATGATGCAGAAATGCCGAACCACGGAATGTGCAGAACTGCGGAATTTGCAGACGTGTGGAATCTGCAGAACCGCGGAACTTGCAGAAAAAGAAAATATGTCTATCGATTTCAAAAACCGTGGAATATGCAGAAGTGCGGAATCTGCAGAATCTGCAGATTCTGCATTTCTCCCAATTCCGCACGACGGCAGGGAAGAACCAATCGATCCCTATCAATTCTTTGTCCGTCATTTCTGCATGTCGGCAAATTCCGCGGAATTTGAAGAAATGCAGTTTTCAGATCGATACGTATATATTTCCTTTCTGCAAATTCCGCAGTTCTGCATATTCCGCACTTCTGCATATTCCACGGTTTTTGAAATCGATAGACATATTTTCTTTTTCTGCAAGTTCCGCGGTTCTGCAAATTCCGCACTTCTGCATATTCCACGGTTTTTGAAATCGATAGACATATTTTCTTTTTCTGCAAGTTCCGCG